AAAGTGACAGGAAATTTCCAGGGTTTTCGTTTGAGGTTATATCCTCAGCATGACCACGAAACGCAAGATTCTGAAAAGCTAAATATTGTGTACAATCCAGCAACCATCACAGTATATTTCTCCATTTATTTTTTCCTTGCTGAATTTGCCTTTGCAGCTCTTCATCAATGCCACTTTGAAGACAAATTCAGCACTCAGTTTCTTTCCAAACAGCAAATGACTGTCACTATTTTTATGGGCATTTAACTTTTCAATTTTTTTACACTTAGAGAATCCACCCTGTGTTTTGAAAGCAGGCCGCCTATCGGATGTCATACATGTGGATGAAAAAAGAAGACAAAAAACAGTATGCTGCTTTATGTAGAGGTGAATACACCAACCAGGAACAATTGACCTCTTGTCCATTCAGAAGGCATTGTTTGAACCAAAATGCAGTCATAGAATGACCATCTTTGGTATCAAATGGACCTTCTTTATGTTGAAATTCATGTGCTCCAACTTTAACAGTCTCTGTGCGATGTTCATGTGTTACAACTGCTGAGCCTGTTGTATCAAACTTCATAAATCCAATATCCCTGTGTGTTAAAATACTTATTAGGTCATCTTCTTTTAGCTTAGCAACACTATTCTGTGGATTTGTTTCTGACAACGTGAAATCCTCTTGTTTATTATTATTCTAGCTTTCAACAGGACAGAAAACAGTTTCTTCATTGTTTTCTTTTTCAAATTAAATAGCATGTTCACAATCTTGCACTTTGACCTCTTTGCTGCCATCAAAAGGAACAGATGCTGGCTTACTAGTGTCATCACTTCCAGCAAGGAAAGCTCTCTTCAATTTGCTTGACTCCAACATTGAAGCTGCAAATTGTGCACATCTTTTGTGTCTCTGTGCCTCACTTTCTTTTTTCGACATAATGGGCTAAAAGAATAAATTAATAAATACTGACTAAACTATTTAGTTGCAACATGCAAATTGTCAGATGTAAGGAAGCATTCTACTTTCATAAGTTCCTAACCCCAAATTATATTAAATTATACAATTATAGTTACAACTCAGGACTAGTTAGGCACATCTGGACCTGGTTTCACTTTAACTGACATTATTTAGACCACCCATACTCATGTTAATTAATGTGACACAACAGTAAGAAAATCAAAGCAGATGAGTGTATATGCTGGTAAATCATGCTTATGAGCACCACATAAATTACTGGCACTTGCTAAATCCCATTTAAAAACTCGATAGGTTTATCTACACGAATACTACAGGAGACAAGTTTGAAATTGCTCAAATGAAAATTACACACAATGTGGAGAAGGGTGTAATCAT